TGTGTCCCATATCCCAGCCCGGCATAGCAGGCCGTGTTCTCAGGGAGCCTGTGCCTGTGCCCTGCTGCCCCAGCCTGACGCCCTTTGATACAGGTGGAGCCTCTAACCTGCAGGGCCGATGTGAAAGCAGCGTGATGAGAAACACCACTGTCTTTGCTTTGAGATTTGTCTGCCGAATTCTCTGACTTAAAAATACTGTTTGCCATTAGATTTTGCAATTTGAGTTTTACCAGGTACTGGCTAGCTTTCTCTGTGGCTGTGAAAAAGGTCAAGAGGTGAGATTCCCAGAGGTCATTTGGAGGAGGAACATTTAGATCAGATGTTTTAATGTAAAACCCTTTTCCTCCTTAAGTCAAATTATAGGACATTTTATTTCTCTTAAGATAGTTGATTCCACCATTAAATAGATTGTGCTCCGTTTGGTTCAGACAGCTTTAAAAAAGGGAAGAGAATCTGAAAGTTGCATGTCTCGGGTAAAGTCTGCAGCCGCACTGCCGACCCTGAGGGGGGCGGAGTGTTCTGTTCTGCTCTTCAGGTGGCTCTGCAGGGTCCCTGTTGTCAGCGCTGAGGGACAGATTGTTTCTCTCTCTCTTTCTTAGGATATTTTGCTCGAGTGCATGGCATCAGTCAGCTTACAAAGGCATTTCTACAGAAGACAGAATGTCACTGTCAAATTATAAACCTTGGGGCTGGGATGGATACCACCTTCTGGATATTAAAGGTAAGTTAAAATTCCTCTTCCTTTTTCTTCAATTGTTTGCATTTAATTTTTGAAGATTTTTACCTGGTTCAAAAAATTTTTTTTAAATCTATTAAAACAAATGCAGTGACAACCCATCTGCCTCCTGTCCCTAGCGCTTGCATGCCCTAGCCACCAAGCCCCGTGCTCCATCGCACCAGGTCCTCATGAGGAATGTGGGGCTTGTTTCTCATCTTTTGCTGTCACGTGCAGGGCCTTAATGAAAATCTGTACGTTTTCCTCTGCAAGTGTAGAGATGTATCAGGAGAAAACATGCTATTAGTGGAATTGGCAAGACAGAGCACACGCATTAGTAATGTTGATGATAAGATTTTATTGTCAGCATAACTGTCTGTGAAATTTGGAGAATCGCACAACTGGGTGATGGTAACGTGACGCAGGGCCCTTTTGTAGCCATCCTTTTTTAAAAAAATATGTTTTTATTGATTTCAGAGAGAGGAAGGGAGAGGGAGAGAGAGAGAGAGAAACATCAATGATAAGAGAGAGCCATTGACGGCTGCCTCCTGCATCCTCCCTACTGGGGATGGAGCCTGAAACCTGGGCATGTGCTCTGGCCGGGAATTGAACCATGACCTCTTGGTTTATGGGTTGACGCTCAACCACTGAGCCAATCTGGCCGGGCTGTAGCCATTCTTTGACTGGTACCCTTAATTGCCCTCCTAGGGTTCAAAACAGGTCTACTCAGTCACTCATATGAAGGGGAACTTGAGTCTAGTTAGAGGAGAACCAGAACTACAGTGCTGGTCTTTGACCTCTGGGCTTGAATTTTACCACCAAACCCTTTCCCTACAAAGACCTCATGGTTGAATTTCCTTTTTTATAGGTTTGTACAGATTTTTTCTTGGTTCTTCTGTGAGGTGGTCACAAGGCAGTAATGGGTACATGCATTTCCCAGATTTCTTGCAGACACACAAAGATAAGTTAGAGTGTATGGGTGTAACCCGGCCTGCATGTCTGTCTGGTCCATAGCAGCTCACCTGATAAGGGCTGTGGTCCTCAGAGCTCCCAACCTTTCCCTTCCTGAAGCAAGAACTCAGCGTCCTCCACTTGGTTGTAGGATTAAGTGCTTGCCTCTGCATTCTCCATTCAGATAAGAATAACTCACATTGATGAAGTGCTTTTACAAACAGGATCTCATGAGTTCATGCGAGAGCTCTGTGAGGGGGGTGTGTGCAGACGGGGCTGCGAGAGCTGTCTTTTCCAGATTGGCCAGCCAGTGGCATGTGAATGTGGGACAGCTTGACCCAGATTCCTTGTTCTTTACCTGCAGCCCTGTGCTTGTTTGGAGGCATCTTTTCTGTGGGTTGATTGAGCCTCTAACGCAGTGAGCATGACGTGGCACAGGCACTGGCCAGAATGCAGGGAGAGAGTGTGAGGGATGGTGATGGGCCTCTGTAATGCAGTGAGCATGGCGTGGCACAGGCACTGGACAGAATGCAGGGAGAGAGTGTGAGGGGTGGTCACGGGCCTCTGGAGAAATCCCTCCTCTGGGCCTGACACCTTTTGACTTGGTCAAGTTTGTTTTTTTCCTGCCATGCTGATGGGTTAATAATGAATAAATCTGAGATTTTTATTTCTGAGCAGGGTCCACTGAGGCTCATGTGCCCCTTCCAAGAAGAAGGGTGTCTACCAGTAGTGAGGAAGGAGATAGCACAGTGTCTGAAAGTCCTTTGTGGAAGTGTTTTTGTTGCTTGAAAGTGTTTTTTAAAAACATAAAGTTCCTCTTTTTACAAAAAACAAAATTATGGTTGTTGCTTTTTTAGAGTGGAGACTGCAGGGGCCCCATCTGGCCTGCTTTCTGTTTCTGTGAATCAGGTTTATGGGAGAGCAGCCCCTCCCATGTAGGTACATCCCTGTGGCTGCTTTGGCACAGTACCCGAGGAGGTGAGCAGTGAGGACAAGACACCCTGGGGCCTGTGAAGACTAAAATACTTCCTGGCTCTTTATGAGAAGTCTGCTAATCTCTGTAGAGACACATTTGCTGCTCTGAAAGGGTAGGACAATTGTGTCCATCGGTCTCATCTCATGCAACTTGCGCCTGGTGTGTTCCCCCGGCTGTGGGAGCCGAGGCTTAGCCGGAGTTCCAGGCTTTCTGCCACCGCTGCTGTGTGACTCACTCATGAGCTCTAAGGGGCTAGCTAGACGTCAGAAAGCCCATTTCATTCACTGGAGAAAACAAATTAAACACAAAGTCAACTGGCCACAAAACCCGGTCATGTGCTGAATAGGTCTTCATGGTCTGACACACCCAGAAAATGCAAGTTTTCTTTTTTCCTGTTTTTCCCCCCTCTTTCTTTCTTTGCATTGTAACAGTTGATAAAAATCTTTTGTTTTTTTACTAAAATAAACCTGTTCAGGGGAACAACTACTAGATGAATTTAAGGGTTTTATGCACCTTATAGAGGTTACAGTTGATTTCCTTATAAAAAACGTTTTCAAGAACCTGTGCAGAACCGTCAGGAATTCCGTAGAGCACAGCTGATGAGAACAGTCCATGACTATTCAGCCCTCACAGCCTTCTCCATGGGCGAGCACCATCCTGTACCTCTCAGTCACACACCTGGTTGAAGGTATGTGGAGAATGGTCATGAGACACCTCTATAGCTGCCTGCTGTGAACCACTCGCCTTCTCCATGGGAACCACCATGGTCTGCACGTGGGCTGGGGCAGATAGACTCCTTGCAGAGCTGGTGTCGCAGGTGTGTGTACTCGCTGCTGCCTAGAGGGCTGATCCTAGATGCGGCTGTGGTGACATGGTATGGGGGCTGTGGGACATGTCGTTGAGGCTGCATCCACAAAGGACTTTGCACCTGGTAGGTGGGTACAGAAGACACAACAGCTGGGTATAAGAGAAGTTTGAGCGACACTGTGGTGAAGGGTAAAATTACTCTTGTCCTTTTCTTTCTCTCTCTCTGCCCCTCCACCTTCCCCTTTTTCCTGACGACCATCCTCCATGTGGGAGGGGGAAGGCTGGATCCCACAATTCTGATATTTGCTTTTAGGGGCCCCCTGCCTGCTAGGAATTGCTTGCTCATAATTTCTGCCTCTATTGTGCAGCTGCAGGGGTGGTTCTGCTGCGCTCTCTAGCTGTTTTCCATCTCTTGTTACTGTCTGCATTGTGGTGCCCTTACCTGCCCAGGTGCTCAAGTTAGAAACCAGGGTGTCAACCTTGCCCTTCATCCAATCCTGCACCAGTGAAGCTACCAGGTTCTGCAAGGCAGCAACTTACTTTTTTTTTTTAATCTTTATTGTTGAAAGTATTACAGATATCCCCCCTTTTTCTCCCCATTGATCCCCTACTCCCTGCAGCCGCCCCCCCTTCTCCAGACCTTCACCACACTGTTGTCTGTGTCCATGGGTTATATATATAAGCATATAAGGTCTTTGATTAATCTCTCCCCAACCACTCCCTTGCCCCCGCCTTCCCACTGAGATCTCAGTCTGTTCCATGCTTCTGTGTATCTGGATCTGTTTTGTTCCTCAGTCTGTTTTGTTTATTAGATTCCACATATGAGTGAGATCATGTAAAACTGAATCAGGAAGAATCAGAAAACCTGAATAGGCCGATAACAACTGATGAAATCAAAGCAGTAAAAAAAAACCTCCCAGCAAACAAAGCCCTGGTCTGGATGGCTTCACAGGGGCGCTTTCTAATTCTTTAAGTTGTAGGGTTTGATAGTTTACTAAAACTTTTTCTTCATTTTTGAGGAAGGCCTGCAGTGCTATGAACTTCCCTCTTAGGACTGCTTTCTCTGTGTCCCATAGATTTTGGGTGGTTGTGTGTTCATTTTCATTTGTTTCCAGGAAGTTTTTGATTTCTTTTTTGATCTTATTGGTAACTCATTCCTTGTTGAATAACATGCTGTTTAGCCTCCATGCGTTTGAATGTTTTTGAGTGTTTTTACTGTAGTTGATTTCTAATTTCATGCCCTTGTGATCTGAGATGCTTGATAGGATTTCAATCTTCTTGAACTTGTAGAGACTGGTTTTGTGTCCTGTCTTTGAGAATGACCCATGTGCCCTTGAGAGGAACGTATATTTTGCAGCTTTGGGGTGAAATGTTCTGTAAATATCAATTAAATCCATCTAATATAGTGTGCCATTTAGTCAGTGTTTCTGTGTTGACTTTTTGTCTGGAAGATCTATCCAGGGAAGTCAGTGGGATGTTAAAGTCCACAACTATGACTGTATTGCTGTTGATCTTTCCCTTAAAGTCCTCAAGGTCCTTATTTATTGCCTATATTGATAGGTTCTTATTTATTGCCATTTTAATTCTTTATGCCTATGTTTCTCTATTTCTTATTATTACAGCAATCCCTTTAACATTTCTTGCAATGCTTCTATTTCTACTTCTAATTACAGCAGTCCCTTAACATTTTCTGCAATGCTGGTTTGGTGGTGATAAACTCTTTTAGCCTTTTTTTTTGTCTGGGAAGCTCTTTATTTCACCATCTATTTTGAATGATAGCCTTGCTGGATAGAGTAGTCTTGGTTTCAGACCTTTGTTTTGCATTACCTTGAATACTCCATGCCATTCCCTTCTGGCCTGTAGAGTTTCTGATGAGAAGTCAACTGACAGCCTTATGGGAGCTCCTTTGTAGGTAACAGATTGCTTTTCTTTTGCTGCCTTTAAGATTCTCTCCCTGTCTTGAATTTTTTGCATTTTAATTATGATGTGTCTGGGCATGGGTGTCTTTGGATTCTTCTTGCTTGGGACTCTCTGTGCCTCCTCAATTTGTATGACTTTTTCCTTTGCCATGTTAGGGAAATATTCTGCCATTATTTTTTCAAATAGGTTCTCTACCCCTTGCTTACTTTCAGCTTCCTCTGGCATTCCTGTGATGCGAATATTGTTACATTTCATGTTGTCCCACAGCTCCCTGAGACTGTCCTCTTGTTTTTTAATTGTTGTTTTTTCTTTTTGCATCTCTGATTGAGTGATTTTTTTCTACCTTCTCTTCTAATTCACTGATCCAGTCCTCAGCTTCCTCTAATCTGCTGTTTATTCCTTCCAACGTATTCTTTATTTCTGCTATGTCATTCTTAATTTCCTTCATAGTTTCTGTACCTTTTTTCATGCTATTGAGCATCCTTACAATCAGGATTCTGAACTCTGTATCTGATAGATTGCTTCTCTTTGTTTTATTCAGCTCTTTTTCTGGAGACTTCTCTTGTTCTTTCATTTGGGACTTGTTTTTTGTTCTCCCCATTTTGGCTACCTATTTGGGTTTGTTTCTATGTATTCGGTAGGCCTGCTACTACTCTCAGTCTTTTTGGATGGTCTCTGGTGCAGACCAGTGTCAGATGCTGTTTGACTGGCCTTGAGTACCCTGTTTGGTGCTATCAACAACCCACGGCTTGAAGTCCCTTCTGTTGGGACTGGGTGCTGTCGGACAGGACTGAGATGCACACCAAAGCCTGCTTTTCCAAGGTCTGGATCCAGAAGCAGATCAGGCAAAGACTCAAAGCCTTCTGAGTCTCCCTCTGTCTGAATCTGTTAATGAGCCTCAGGCTTTAGAAACTCCAGGGGTTAGAGCCAGTGATTTTCTAGCAGGGTGGGGCAATTGCTTCTCCCTCAGGCAAAAGCTGCTTGGAAGATAAATGTCTGCCTCTGCAGTATGGAGGAATGACCAGGCACAGGAATCTTGAGGGGTGCCCTCTGAGCTTTTTCTCCAGAGTCCACAACCCTAGGTTTTCCTTGCACAGCTCCAGTCCACTCTGCCCTCCCTCTGCTTGAGCCCAAGGTGAGTAGCTGCACATGAAACTTTGTGTGTTGGCTCTTTAAGAGGGTGTCTGCATTTCCATCTGTATATCCCTGGCAGACAGAAACCTGGCTGCTTTTCACAGCCAGATGTTATGTGGGCACCTTTCTCAGTTCTGGTGCTCTGGGCTGGGGAGCCTGGCCTGGGGTTTAGGCCCCAGAGTTTCAGTAGCAACCCCCCACAGCTGAGATCTCCCTCCGGACCTTCAGCTGCTGCATGTTGGAGCCCAGCCAGCCCTCTTGCACCTCTGCACTTCCTACCAGTCTCTGTGTGGTCTCCCCTTTTCCTCCTAGTTCATGAGGGTCCTCTCCAGCCTGTCTTCAGTTACAGTTGATTATTCAGGATGGTTTTTCTATAGTTGTTATTCCAGTTTGGTCCTGGGAGAGTGTCAGTGTAGCTTCCACTCAGTCCACCGCCATCTTTAATCTCTCCAGTAACTTTCTTTTCTTTCTTCTCCATCTTTTTAAAAAAATACGTAGTTTCTGGAATATAGTGCAGGTGGGCACAAGGGGGTTAAAAGTGTCTATGGAGGGAGACACTGGGCATGTGGGCCAGGTATGAAGCGTCTTGTCCTTGCTGGGTCTCAGAGGCATGAGGAGCTCCTGCAACGTGACATGCATCCTTTAGTGACACCAGAGGGGTATTTTACAGTCCGTGCAGGTGTGACAGCTGACAGGGAGAGGAAGCATTGGAGAATGGTCCCAATCAAGCTAGCAAAAGACGCAAAGGGAAGCAGAGCCGTGTGTCCGTGTGTCTGTGTTTCTGTTTGCCTTTCACACTTTTTTACTGCAGCCCAGAGTAGAACGTAAATGTATACCCCAAGCCAGGACCCACATCTGTGTACCTCTGTCTGTAAGTGATAAAGGCACATAGGTGGTGCTGACTGTCACTCTTGTATTTCCTCAGTAATTCTCACAACTCCATGAGGTGTTATCATTACTTTTCACATTGGGAAACCTTGGCCCAGGGAGTTGAGTGCGTTTCCCGAGGCGTCACAGCAAACAGGTGGTGGAGTTGGGATTTGAACCCTTGCCCCTGGGCTCTACAGTGCCTGTTCTTTATCTCCCCATATACTCCACTCACAGAAAAAAGTAAATGTATCACAAAATAATACTAGCCCTCATTACATGCTTTTTCTTTTCTTTTTTCCCCCTGATACTGGCTATTTTATTCTATTTCATCCCAAACTGCTAGGCGGACCCACTACATACATTGATTTCCTCACCCAGGCTGTTAGGTCCCAAGCTGCTTTTTGGAAAATACTGCCCTGTCCTACTTCCAAAGTGCCTTTTACCTCCCACCTCCATCCCAGTGGGATGCCCCAGCTCAGGCCCCCCATTACTTCTTACCTGGATGACCTCAGTGGCCTTCTAACTTTTTCCTCCATTCATTCTTCATGCTGAGACCAAAATAATTTGAAAAGTGCATTACTGACCCTATCATTCCCCCGATTTAAGGTCCTAAGTGCCACATTGCTCTTCGGGGCCTCACACTTGGCCCATGAAGATGACCAGTAAATGTTGCGTGAATATGTAATTCTACAGATTACTGTGTGTTTTTTCTCAGGATCAAGATCTTCTCCCAAGTAAATATTTTGAAGTCGACTTTCCAATGATAGTCACAAGAAAACTGCACAGCATCAAGTAAGTGTGGCTTTGGCCGGAGAAAAGAATCCAGAACCAGCCTCAGTGGGTGGCAGCTGGTGGCCAGGCTCTCGTCTTGTGCACGGCTTTCCTGTGACCACCTCCCACCTTCCTTCTTCCCTGGGACCCTCATTCCAATGTGCCGTGCAGCCTTCAAAATGAAACACACCCTCTCCTGCAACTCTGACCACTGATGTAGTTCTCAAGGGAGAGTAGTTTGATACTTTGATTTTTTTATGTGTATTTTGTTTGCTGCTTTGTCCCCAGGGCATAGAAAGGTACATGGTCCAGAGTAGATGTGCAGTAAATATTTTTGAATGAGTGAATGGAGACTGAAGTTAGTCAGTGATTCTCTATGAGCCGTTGCGGGGCATTCCAGGTTTCAGAGGGTTTGTAGAGTTGTAGACGACTAGTTTGCTAGTCTTTGCTGAGAGCTTGCGTTGCCTCACACCATGGTTGATGCTTCACTTGGGTTGTCTCACCCAGTTCTCAGCAGACTCATGAGTTAAGTGCTCTTGTTAGCCCCTTTTACAGATGGGAAACTGAGGCTTGAAGTTTGGTTAGTTTGCCTGAGGTCATCCAGCTTGCAGGAGGTGGAGCTGAGATTTAAACCCTGACTTAAAGCCCAAGGTCAAGGTTTCTTAATAGTGCTAACCCACACTTCCTCCCTCCTGCTTAATTCAGTCATCGAAACAAAATCCTAATTATATTTACAAAACTTAATAAGCATAAAAATTTAAGCTTGTCCTTTAGAAATGTCTAATCTGCACAAGGTGGGAATATTTTTCAAGCTTTGTTATTTCTACTTTATCCTATGAAAGTAAGATTTTTACCCTTTTCAAATAGGAAATAATACTTTGTATTAAAAGTATTTTTCAGTTGATTATGGCAGTTCTGATGCTTAGGCTGTTAGAACTTGGGAGTAAGTGAAGGGGCTCTGTCAGGCTAGTGGTGGTTTCTGGAGCAGGAAATGTGCTGGTGTCTGTGCATGGTGCTCGGGTACTGACAGTTGGCTCTCTGATTTTTTTCATAGTCTTGATTGGGGGTGTCATCAGATAGACGTTTCTGAACTTTAGGTCTGAGTAAGTCAACTTTTTTAGTTATCCATGAGAAATAGTAGCTATTTTTATTTTTTTTAAATGTTTGTATTGATTTTAGAGAGGAAGGGAGGAAGGGGGAGAGAGAGGGAGAGAGAGAGAAACATTAATGTGAGGGAGAAACATTGATCAGTTGCCTCCCGCATGCACCCCAACCAGGGGTTGAACCCACAACCTGGGTATGTGCCCTGACTGGGAATTGAACCAGGACCTCCTGGTTCATAGATCAACGGTCAACCGCTGAGCCATGTTGGCTGGGCCATCTTTAAAATTTAATTTGAGAAGAGGCAAGAAACTAGAGATATCTTGACAGATACTGGAACATTGGGAAATTCTTACTGGCCTGTCTTGAGCTATTTCTGAGTTTGAGTGTTTCACATCAGTTTGTGATTGACATCAAATTCTGAGTATAACACTTAGCTGAGACACGTGTCCACTTAAGTTTTACTGTATGTGCCTCAGGTCAAATGGAATTGAGCAAAAGCCCCCACAGTGTTAATACATTTGCCATTTTTATAGCGGCTGTCTGCGTTTTTGTGGTAAATAAGCTGCCTGACTCATCTTTCCCCTCTTTCCCACCTCCCCATAGATTCAAACCTGTCCTGTCAAAACCCATCTTAGAGTTACATTCAGAGGACTCACTTCAAATCGGCAAGTACCATTAACCTAAGTAGTGCAGTGTGGGCTATATTATATAGCTGTTTTGCTTGACTTCCCTTTTCTTTTTTAAAGATGGCCTGTGTGCGCGCGTATGTGTGTGTGCAAGTGTGCGCATGTGTGTGTGCATGTTCCTGTGTGCACCTGTGCACATGATGTTACGGTGTCTACTTCTGATCCATGCATACTTCCTGCAGTTTCTGTGAAGGATTTTAAAACAGCTTTTTGTGTGTTTTATTAGATTTCCATAGGTCCCCAATCTTAAATCTTTCAAAAAATCTAAATTAGTTGCCAACATTTTGAAAATAGGAGATTTTTAATGAGAACCTGGATTTCCCGCTTTCCTTGGAAAGAGCAGATCTGGCACCTGTGGGCCCTTACTCCTCCACGGAAGTCCTGGGGAGGACAGAGTGTCCCGCTCCTGTCCCCACTCCTGGGGGGCCTCTGTCTTAGGTCTGACCTGCCTCACCCTATGTCACCTCCTTGGCTCCTGTGCTCATTTTCCCCTCCAATTTTAATTATAAATGTTTCTAACGACACTGTCCTCATTTCTAAGTTCTTCAAGTTAAGGTGAATCTCTTCCAGAGTCTTCCATCATTTTCAGTCTGTCTGACAGAGAAGTTCTGCTTAATACTAATTCAGGTCAGAAAACCCGCAGAGAGGGTGGTCTTCCTGGATGGTGGGCACAGACAGCCCAGCACATGTCAGACAACTCAGAGCCCTTGTGTGCACAACCACAGCGTGTTAGTCAGTCAGTCCTCCTAGTGACGGGTCCCCAGTCACGCTTCCGCAGGAAATGTCTCCCCCACTCCTGTTTCCCTCACCCCATTGTAAGCAGAACCAGTTTAGGCTTTGCCACTTGCTGGCCATTTGTTTGCTTTTCCACACTTTTGCTGTGATGATTTTCTATATATTTAGTTACTGTTTGTGTCAGAACAATTGTCTGTAGCAAGAGATCTAACACTTGACATGACTTTTGATCAATGTAGAAATACAGGAAGTAGAAAGTAAAGACCCTCTGCAGCCCCTCCCCACCCCAAGGAAAGCACTCACTGCTCAGTGTTTTGGACTATAGGTGACGGTTATACCCAGAGATGGGCCAGGGCGCACACGAACCGGCCCTGCACCTGGCGCATTAGAGGGTTCCGCAGATTTCTATTGAATGAATGCCCATCAAATAAATGTGTGTTGTAATTCAATATATACGTGTTCAATGAGTGAATCTGTACTTCTGTGTATAAACCTGTATTTATATGTAATATTAATAAACTGAATAATTGACACGTACTGTTTGAAACTTGCTCTCCTCACATGCCAACAGATCACGGCTGTGTCTCTTCTGTCTGCTTGGGCAGCTCTCTGCATCATCAATTCCAGTGGCTTCATAGTACTTCCCTGCACGGAAATTCTGTTTCGTTTAATCTTTTCCCTCTGATGGTCTTTGAGACTGCTTCCCTTCGTGTTGATTTATATTAAGCAGTGCTGTAGAAAACATACATATGTATGTGTGCGTATTTGCAGGAACTGCCAGCTCAGAGTATTACATTCTATGGATTTTACTAGCTGTGACCAGACTGTTCTTCAAGACCCTTTTTACTAATTTCTGCTTCCACTAGAGGGGTAAGGATTCCCATTCCCTACACCTTCACTAACACTGGGTATTACCATTTTAAAAATCTCTCCCAACCTGGCCAATGCGCTGCCCACACACTGTCACACTCCCACCAGGCCAAGGTCGTCCTCACTCACTGAGCGCTGCCCTGCCCGGGAGGTGCACACTGGAGCCGGGCCTCCCTCCTGTGGAGGGCCCACGGAAGGAGGCGTGCGGGACTGTGCGGCCAGCATAGGTGCTAGGTGGCTGTCGTGCTCCCAGTGCTGCCGCTGTGTCCTCAGCCTCCAGCCAGCCCTGCCTGGTGGCCAGCGGTGGCTGTGCATTTGTGGAACTGAGTGCCTGCGTTGCTCCTAGGATACCTCTGCTGCCCTCCTCTTCCTCAAGACTGCTTCCACTCTTCCTGCTTGGGGGCCCCAGGGCGCTAAAGCTGACTGCACACACTGCCTTCTCCGTGTTCCCATAGCCAGAGATAGGACCTGACACCTTTGGTGACCAGTCTCAGGGCCCCGGGTGACCTTCACTGGTGCATGTGGAGCTTGAAGTATGGGTGGATGGAGTTCAGAGGATTGTTTGTGGGGTCACCCAAGCCACCACTTGTCAAGAGGTTGTAATAGCCTTAGCCCAAGCACCAGGCTGGACAGGAAGGCGCACTTCACTAGAAAGCTGGGGGGATGCTGAGACATTTGAAGCCTCATGAGAATCTTGTCACATCCTTAACAGATGGGGCGGTGTGCTGTAATGTGCAGCGTATTTTACGTGGCTGGGGCCATCCCACAGTGAGCAGCCCACATCAGATGGCGTGGCTCGAATTCCTGAGAGACCTTTATGCAGGCAGAGGGTACCCCTCACCTAGAGTGAGGCCTCGGATTGACAAAGCAAGCCAAAGGAGAGAATCTAACCTTTGCAGAGGTGCAAAGGGTTAATGGAAATTTTTGGAAAAGGTAAAGAAACAGAATTTAAGCAAAAAGTGCCAAATGACTGCGGAACAACAGTAGATGAGCTAAAGAGGCTGATCCATTTGCAGACAGAGAAGCTCCATCCATTGAGAACGAGCTAGAGTCCAATGATAGAAATATGATTTGGGAGCAAAAATATAATTCTACCCTTGACTAGGAAATGGTGCACATGGAGCAAAAGGTCAAAAGAAATGATGTAGAACTTGAAGAGGAAGAATTTTGGGAAAAGGAATTAATACAGATTGAACAGGAAAATACAAAACAGCTGAAGGATCAACTTCAAGAAAGACAGAAAAGAATAGACTTTGCAAGAGTGAAAAGGGCCGTTTGTCTCAGGCCCAGACAGTGGAACGCCATCTCAAAGCAGAAAATTGCAACAGAACTCCGGGGGCACAACTCACAGGGCTTCAAGGGAAGGTCAGGAAGGTCACAGGGGAAACTGACAGGCCCGCGAGTCGGAGGCCGGATGGTGATGCAGAAGCTGTGGGAAGGTCACTGAGTGACTACAGGACAAAGAGCGAGGACTGGAGCAGTTGACTGAAGAGCTGCGGAGAGTCGTCTCCAGCAGTTCATCCAGCAGACGGGCAGAGCTGCATTTTCCCAGTGGAGCCCATCGAAGTGGAGGCCTCACATGCAGGCGCCGTTCCAGTCTCATGCCCAAGGTGGCCGAGGTCCTCTCGGCAACTCCCCAGGAATCTTTGTGGTCTACGGAATCCTGCTTCATCTGGTTTTAATCCTGGAGGCACATACGTATGTACAACGTTGCCTGTCTTTAGGGGAGAGACCCAATGAAGGCATGACGGACAGTAAAAAATAATAAAAGTTTCTCCCAATCCGATTTCTCCCAGGCGAAGTGATGTCTTGGTATTTAAAAATGTTACGTAACTTTGCTAGCGAGACAGCATATTTTTCCAGAATAGTTAAACTCCTTTGAAACCCACTCTGAGGCCGTGTGCTGTACTAAACATATTCTGTTCCCTGCACAGCGAGGGGAAGGCGTCCTTCGGGGGCAGGGAGTGACCTATCCCTGCACCGCTTGAGTAGCTCCCATGTCCCCACTTCAGAGTGGCCCCAAGGCATGCCGGGTGTGTGCTGTTGGAGTCCGCTGTCGCTGGTGAACCTCAGTGGGGCATGCCAGCCTGCCCTGGCACCTGGCTGGGCCTGGCCGGTGCACCTCATGCCACTGACCCCTTCAGCTCTGCTGCCCTGTGCTCAGTTTTTAGGCGTCATGACTGGGCATTTCTGCTCTCCCTGCTACCTGTAGCTCCACCCTCTCTGAGTAAGGTGTCTCCCCTGAGCTACATGCTTCAAAATTCTGGATTTTTTTCTGTGTGTTTTTTTTTTTTTTTTTTCAGGGATAGAAAAGCTCATTTTAAATATGCTTCTTATTAATATGTGTGTCATTTGCAGGAAGGCACATAGGCTTTTGGGAGTCATGTGATTTCATAGTGGGGCAGACAAGTGCCTCCCTCTTCCTCACACCTTTTCCTGATGCAGGCAGTGTGCCCGCGGCTGGCAGGTTTCCCTGCTCCCCGAGTGCTTTCCTGACATCTGGTCAGTTCCCGGGAGGTATGGTGTGTGGCCAGATGTAATCGGATTGGCCAGTTGGGGTCATTGAGATCCTGAGAGAGGACCTGCTCACGTGCTGTGCTCTAGCCTTTTCCTCATGTTTGCTGTGGGTCCTCAAAGCCAAGGGAACGAGTTACTAGTAGTGGCCCAGGATGGCTGCTGGATGGTCCAGCTCCTTCCCCAGCGTTTTGGTAAACAACTGATCAGTTTTCTTTCTCTTTATCATAAGTCTGCTTTTAAACTTTAACTGAAAGCAATTCCAGGCATACACAGAAATGGTATGACTAGATTGGTGAACCTCCGTGTGCCCGTCGCTGGACTTTCACTATTGCCAGTCCCATTTCATCTGGACCAGTGGTTCTGAAATGAAGTCCCGGATGAGCAGCACCAGCAGCACGTGGGAACTTCTCAGAAATGAAAGCGTCTACGCTTTGAAAGATCTGCATCAGACACTCAGGGTGGAGCCCAGCAACGTGTGATTCTGATGTCTGCCAGGGCTTGAGACCATCCTGCCTATGCTGGAAAACCTTAAAGCTAGTGCTATTTTATTTGCAAATAGTTTAGATCATGAATTGTTTTCTTTTAAGTGTAGTATCTTACAAATTGGCACAACATTTAGAGAGCAGCCTGCCAGTCAGTACCATTGTGAAATAGTTCACTCGTTGACCTAATTCCACTTGTAACCTGCTTCTTAAGTAGACGTGTGTTTGACATAGAGCACTGCCTAAATGCAAGGTGTACCTGTTCATTTGGTACGTTTATATGTTGTAGTATGACCGCCGCTGTAGTGATAATTAGTACCTCAATCACGTCACTTAATTATCGTTTCTTTTTAGTGGTTGGAAAAATGAAGATCTCTCAGCAGCTTTGAGGGTCATAGTGCAGTATTGTCAGGATTCACATCGTGTGCATCAGATCTCTAGGATGTATCTGCTACCCAGTGCAAGTTTGTACCCTTAAATTCATCTCTGTCGTAGACCCTGTGATGAGCATCCCTGGATGTATAAGTCACACAGGTTACTCTGCACTTACTTTAAAGACATTATTAGATGGGTGCTTCATGATGCACATATGGGATGCTCATCACAGTGCCCGAGACAGAGACAGCTTGGAAACACCATGTCTGGTAGTGAGGGATTGGGTCATTCCGTGCGTTATCCACCCGGCAGAACACCCTGAAATCACTGTTAAGTAGGAAAAGCATTTTTCAAAACAAGTATCTCATGTCCCTGTTTTCTTTGTGTGTG